GAAAACACTGAAATAAAACAATATACTCTGCTGCACCAACACTGTAATGCGCCCCCTATGGGGCCCACCCCCCACTTTGGGAACCATCACGTTAAAGTACCTGATTTGGAGGTGGAAACGTAATACGGAAACCAAACACTCTGTGAGTGTAAAACAGTTAAATTGCATCATCAAATATTGAATTATTTTATAAACACACAGTAGACACTCCTGGGCATCATCAAATATTGAATTATTTTATATACACACAGTAGACGCTCCTGAATATTTTACCAAAAAAAAAAAAAAGAGCAGAAAGATCCGGTTCTGGGAGCCGGTTCCCCAGTAGAACTTTGACGACAGACTGTGGTGTGCAGAAAACCAGAGTTCAGCACTGAGTTCACATCCACAGTAAATGTCAGACGTACCATCTGGTCAGTGCGTGATGCTGAATTAGCCATCCAGGAATTGCCATCCCCAATGTTAATGCTGCACTCGGCAAACCCGGGGTCAAACCACCAGGGTCCGCGCATTTGATTACAAATCACGGAAAGACAACGGTGTCTAACAATAAACCAACACCTCACTACAAACGTGTGAGAATTCAGCTCTAATTGTCTGCTCACCGTTGAAAAGACGCTGAATGTATTTACCCCCGTGTGTGTTCGCCCGGCTTTGCATTTCAAACCGGTCACATTAGGAAATTTGCATTTCTCAAACGTGTTGATAAAAAGCTTCCACCGCTCCGACTGCTTCAGATACAGACATCAAATGAGCGATAAAGACAGAAGAGAGAGGAGAAGCAGCTGTGCAGAACCAGAGAGAGGCGGAGTAAACATTACATACCAAAGACGGTGCGCGCTGGGACCGATTCTTTATTTATCCAGAAGGACACTTGGGAGAGGATTACCGTCATTATGCAGGGGATATAGGTCTGAATCATGAAGTAGCCCATTTTACGTTTCAGGTGGAAGTAGACAGTCATCACCACATATTCACCTGGAGGATGAAAAAGAAAAAAAAACAGTTTATTTGGAGGAGCCTGACAGATCTGAAGACAGATGACACTGTTGATTTAATGCTACTGTTCACTTATATTTTACTGCAGAAGAAAAATGCGACTGTTTTTCAGCAGCTGTGTCCTCCAGGACTGTAAGACCTTCCACCAATCATGCAGCATTTTTTCGGTTCAGTTCAGGTGCAGTTTCTTTGGACCGACCTGTGATGGATTTGATGGTTTCGCTGGAGACGGTCTGGCCGATGAGATCGTACTGAACCAGGCTGGAGGACTCAGGTGGAACCTCCACCGAGTGCTGCGGCCCTTTGGTCCAAGTGTAGATCATTTCAGTTTTAGGATAGGCATCTGTGGATCACAAGCGTGACGTGAAGTTTTTATACTTTTTATATTCCACTGATAAATTGGTTTAATCAGCATCTGTATCCATATATGGGCATTATGGGCCTGTGGTTTTTAAAAATGTGGCAGGCGTACCGCCTGTGGTACATGAGCTTCGTTAGGAAGGGGTACGTGGCTCAATCTGGT